TTTTTTTTTTTTTCTTTGAGACAGAGTCTCACTGTGTCACCCTGGGTAGAGTGTCATAGTTTCACAGCTCACAGCAACCTCAAACTCTTGGGCTTAAGTGATTCTCTTGCCTCAGCCTGCCAAGTAGCTGGGACTATAGGCGCCCACCACAACACCTGGCTATTTTTCTGTTGTAGCTGTCATCGTTGTTTCACAGTTCTAGACTGGGTTCAAACACGACAGATCTGGTGAATATGCCCAGCACCCTAGCTGCTGAGCTACAGGCACCAAGTCAAAGATCTACTTTCTTTCCACCTCTTTAAAGAGACCCTGACTAGTTTATTTTTTGTTCACTGAGTAGTTCTTCAGCACATACCAGACACTGTTCTGATTAAGAATACAGCAAAAGGGTGGGGAGAGATATGTTTTTACACATATAAGATACTTGATCTTACAGAATTCACGTTCCACTAAATGGGGGCACACAATAACTAAATACTTACAACTTTAGGTTAATGGCTCCCCAGCAAGTCTAAAGTCTCAGATGACAAGAATCTAAAGGCCTCTGAAACTTGGCTCCTACTCACTTTAACATGATCTTGCATTTTCTCAATTTCCTACCATTGTCTCCATGGAGAAACTGTCTTCTATTTACCTATAAATGCTACTGACCCTGCCAAGGTTCAGTTCAAAAGCCAATGCTTTCTACAAGTAGATATCTCCCCGCCCAAAGTGACTTCTCTTCCATGAACCCCTAAGGCATTAACAAGTTTTATGATACTGTGCTGTGCTGTACATTGAAAAACTTGTCACATTTGCACTTTTGCACTCAGAGTGGACTTTATGTTTGACCTGTGTCTTGTTTTAATGTTCTGATGTTGCTGTCTTAAAATAATTAATAACTTCTGAACAAGGAGTCCTGTGTTTTCATTTGGCACTGGGTTCTGCAAATTGTGTAGTTAGTCCCATCCATGTTAAAAATCTCATATGAACCCTAGTGTAAAAAAAAATAAAACAAAATCATGGTGAGTGAAGACACTGTAAAGAGATAACTTCTATAAATTTTGAGTATAGTCTGCTAGGCAAGGATAACTGATCTTCATCTCTGGATTGAAAAGATAAAAGTAAATCAAGGTGTCCCAGAAATAAATTGCAGTACATATTCTGTTGGAGGGATTATAAATACTACAACTGTTATGGAAAACAGCATGGCGTTTCCTTCCCAAATTAAACATAGAACTACATATGATCTAGCAATCTTATTTCTGTGTATATATACAAAAGAACCGAAAGCAAGTTCTCAAAGAAATATTTGCACACCCATTTTCATAGTAGCCCTACTTACAATAATCAAGAGGTGGAAGTAATCTAAGTGACCATCAACAGATGAATAAACAAACACAGTGTGATACATACACACAATGCAATATAATTTAGCCATAGTAAAGGAAATTATGACATGGGCTACAACATGAATAAAATTTGAGGATATTAACTCTAAGTAAGCCAGCCACAAGAAAACAAACAATATATAATTTCACTTGTATGACTATCTAAAGTAGTCAAAATTCTTTAAAGTAGCATGGTGGTTATCAGGGGCTTAGGAGCTTATTTAATGAGCACAGTGTCAGGTTTGGAAGATGAAAAAACTCTGGAAATCTGTTTCCCAAACAATGTGGATATGCTAAATATTACTGAACTTAGATTTTACGAACTTAAAAAATCCCCAATCAAGTCAGAAACCTGATTATATTCTTTGTAGCATTACTTGTGCTAACATAACCTCTTAAAGGATATGTAAACTATAAGAAAATCTTAAAATATAAAAACATTTCATACTCAGAAAACTTTGTTACCTGCAACAAATCCAACTACCAGATCTTTTCCAGTAGTAGAACGTTGACCTTTGACCCAGACGGCTTTGAGGCTATTAAAAGTGTAGAAATAGACAAAATTGGAACAGCAAAGACTGGAAATGACTGGAAACCACCCTCGATATGGTGCCAATCTAAGGGAAAAAGATAATAAGCAAAGAAAAGATTATGGACAAAAGCACTTTGAAATTGGCAGGTAAGTCCGAGGAAAGACTGATCATCACTCAATCTCAATTCTCTCCTACATTACTAAAAAGGACTCAATTGTACACACATTCTAGATTCTGGAGGATAACCAAATCAAGAAATCTCTCAGCTCAGCGTCTGTGGCTCAAGTGGCTAAGGCGCCAGCCACATACACCTAAAGTGGCAGGTTCGAATCTAGCCTGGGCCCACCAAACAACAATGATGGCTGCAACCAAAAGTTAGCCAAGTGTTGTGGCAGGCACCTGTGGTCCCAGCTACTTGGAAGGCGGAGGCAGGAGACTAGCTTGAGCCCAAGAGTTGGAGGTTGCTGTGAGCTGTGATGTCATGACACTCTACCCAGGGGAACAGCTTGAGGCTCTGTCTCAAAAAAAAAAAAAGAAATCTCTCCTTGGCTGGATGCCTGTGGTTCAATAGTTAGACCCTGTGCATCGGGGTTGGTGGGAAAGAACCTGGCCTGGGTCTGCTAAACAGAAAAAAAAAAATGAAAAATCTTTTCTAGCACTATGATACCAAAGAAATACACAAAGTCTGATTACTTTAGTGGTTCTACCCTCAATTTCCTTTAGTAACCTCAGGATGTAAAACTGGAGATAATTATCTTATGGTGTTAGTTAATATAGTACCATTAAAGTTGTATTATACAATGGTACATTTCAAAACTATTAAGAAATGAGTATAATTGTGAAGGATTTGTTACTTAGTTCAATGTAAGAATTTTACACTGTACATTGAAGCAGTACACTAAACCCCATAAATGCATCAATGTACAAAGTTATGATTTAATAAAAAATAATTAAAAAAATAAAGTTGTATTACAGAGCAAGAATATCTGAAATAATTATAGAAAATAAATGTAAAAAAACAAAAAAAAGATGAGGTAACTGGGACATAGGAACCAGCCTGAAGGGAGGGGCCTCCTACTGGCCAAACAGGACAATGTAAACATCAAAATAATAAATTTGTAAACCACTGAAAAAGTAGAAATTTATGAGACTGTACTAGTGTGGACTAAAATAAAATCTTTTTTTTTTTTTTCTTTGAGACAGAGTTTCACCTTGTTGCCCTCAGTAGAGTGCTGTAGTGTCACAGCTCACAGCAACCTCAAATTCTTGGGCTTAAGTGATTCTCTTCTTGCCTTAGCCTCCAAGTAGCTAGGACTATAGGCACTTGCCACAAGGCCTGGCTATTTTTTTGTTGCAGTTGTCATTGTTGTTTAGCAGGCCTGGGCTGGGTTCAAACCCACCAGCCCCAGTGTATGTGGCCAGCACCCTAACCACTGAGTTACGGGTGCTGAGCCATAAAATAAAATCTTAAGCCCCTCAGCTGATTGAATGGCCAACAGGACCCCAGAAAAACCTTAAAACTGAATTGTGGGAGAAGGGAGGTCAAAAATACCTCCTCATGTTCCCTTTCTTTTGGAGTTACTCTTTTTTTTTTTTGGTGGGGGGGAGGGACAGTATCAAGCTCTTACCCTAGGTAGAGCGCTGTGGTATAACTCACAGCAACCTCTAACTCTCTGGCTCAAGTGATCCTCTTGCCTCAGTTTTTCTATTTTCAGTAGAGATGGGGGTCTCGCTTTTTTGTTGTTGTTGTTTAGGCTGGTTTTGAACTGGTGAATTTAAGCAATCTATCCACCTCAGCCTCCCTTCAAGCAAGCTGCCAAGCTTGGCCTTAGAGTTATTCTTTGTAAGAATAAGATTCTAGGCTCGGCGCCTATAGCTCAACCGTCTAAGGTGCCAGCCACATACACCTAAGGTGGCGGGTTCGAATCCCCAGCCCGGACACGCCAAACAACAATGACAGCTGCAACCAAAAAATAGCCGGGCGTTGTGGCGGGCGCCTGTGGTCCCAGCTACTTGGGAGGCGGAGGCAGGAGACTCTCTTGAGCCCAGGAGTTGGAGGTTGCTGTGAGCTGTAACGCCACGGCACTCTACCCAGGGGGACAGCTTGAGGCTCTGTCTCAAAAAAAAAAAAAAAAAAAGAATAAGATTCTAAATCATTAACAAGCCTAAGGTCATGCAAAAACCAAAGCTTAAATCACACCTACAGGTCATCAATTTACTTAATAGATGATTTGGATTTTGGTATGTGTCTGGTGACTTGACTCTGATTAACAGATATCCTCATCTTAAATCAAACATTCCAAGCCTTTATACAAAGCTTCATTTCTTTCACTGATTACAAATATTTTTAAGCCCATTTATAACCTGTAACCCCACCTCTCTTCTAGATGTCCTGCCTTTTCAGAGCAAACAAGTGTATGCCTTCTGTGTACTGACTTACATCCTTCCTACCTTCATGAATGAATAAAACCAAACTGTGACCTGGCTTCTGTGGGTACATTTTCTCAGGACCTCTTGAAGCCATAAGTACCAGGCTGGTCACATACATTCAGCACAGAATAAACCTCTTAAAGTATTTTATAGAGTTTGGGCTTTTGTTTGTTTATACCAGTCATAAATAGATCAAATAAGTGATAGAGAAGGTGAGGCTCCTTCTTGGCAGTAGAATGCCAAGACTGGTAAATGTGGAGGTAATGCTGGAGATAGAAAATCATCATTTTGCAGGGTGAGATGCCTATAATCCCAGCACTCTGAGAGGCAGAGGCAGGTGGATTGCCTGAGCTCACAAGTTCAAGACCAGGCTGAACAAGAGTGAGACTTCGTCTCTAAAAATAGCTGGGTGTTATAGCAGGCGCCTATAGTCCCAACAACTCAGGAGGTGGAGGCAAGAGAATCACTTGAGCCTAAGAGTCTGAGGTTGCTGTGAGCTATCATGCCAGAGCACTTTACTAAGGGTGTCATAGTGAGAATCTGTCTCAAAAAAAAGTCATCATTTTGCAACTTCATGGCAAATTTAGGGGAAATATTTTGATAAAGAACAGGATATCTGCACTATCTTCATCTCCCCACAGACTGTTTATAGTTGTAAAAGAAAAAAAATCATTCAGTAGCTAATCCAAATCTAAGAAATCCTAACTGACCAATGAAGAACAAGTGGACAATATATGACTCAAGATGTTGCACCCTGAGAAGGATACACTATCACCTGTGCATCACTTTGGTCAAGAAAGCATAACCTCAATCAAATCATGAAAAAACAGGAGGCAAACTCAAAATGAGAAACACTCCAGTTAAAAAAAGGGAGGGAGAGAGACTGTATTCTTTTTTTTTTTTAGAGACAGAGTCTCACTATGTGGCCCTCAGTAGAGTGCCATGGAGTCACAACTCACAGCAACTGCCAGCTCTTGGGCTTAGGTGATTCTCTTGCCTCAGCCTCCCGAGTAGCTGGGACTACAGGTGCCTGCCACAACGCCTGGCTATTTTTTTTCTTGCAGTTTGGCCAGGGCCAGGTTTGAACCCGCCACTCTCGGTACGTGGGGCCAGAACCCTACTCACTGAGCCACAGGTGCCGCCCGAGACTATATTCTTTAAAAGTGTCAGTGTAAAAGGCTTCAATTCTGAAAAAATTTGTGTGATGTTTGTGTGTGTGTCTAATAAGGAGAGAAGGGGACAGAAGACAGCATAAGCACAAACAGTAAAACAAATGAGAAAAATTGCTTATACTAGATGAATCTGGGTAAAGCATATATTGGTGTTCTTTGTACTAATTTTAGTATTGTAAGTTTTTGTGAATTTGAAATTATTTCCAAAAAACGTTAAGAAAAAAAAAAAAGAAGTACATGATCTTTCTGAATGTGTATGACAGCAATGAACTAAACCCACTATCGTTTTCTTTGTTTCACTGTACATAAAACAAAGCATTGGTTTCATGGACAATTCCATAATCAAGAATTAAATGGCTAGGCTCGGCGCCTATAGCTCAACGGGCTAAGGCGCCAGCCATGTACACCTAAGGTGGCGGGTTCGAATCCCCAGCCCGGACCCGCCAAAAACAA